TACCAAATGAGCACAGAAACGCAAATGTCAAATCAAATACCATAGTGATAAAGATAGTAGAGGTATTAATGGTAATGAAGAAGACTAGGGTTCGAAGATATTATTCAAGAAGTATAATTCAGTGAGATAAGGTTAGAAAGACAAAGGCGGAGGAGCTGACGAATCCAGAAGATTAGGATTTGAGAGAGCTCAACGAATGGATGCACTTGCGCCATTGCTAACGATTTTGAGCCATGTCGTTCAAGGTCTCTAACCATTGGTGACCTTCGCCTCGCGGATCCCAACCAGGTAGTCTACATCTACCAACATGACTCAGCCCCCTTGTCATTGACTTGATGGATTTCTGCCATGTTTTGGTCTGGCCGCCCCTAGCTTTCTTCCAACCTACTCCTACACCACAAAACATAGCTCGTCGAGGCAATCGGTGGTTAGCCATACGTAATACATGTCCCAACCACCTCAACTGATGAAGTTTCAATACTTCATCTATTGATTTGCCATCCTTACCTAGCACCCGTTTCCTAACGACAACATTGCTTACTCGGTTGTCCCACGGTATACGAGCAATGCTTCTTAAACATCTATGATCGAATACTAGTAACCTACGAACATCTACTCTTAACTGCCATGTTTCTCATCCATATAGGAGAACGGAGCGAACTGCTGCACAGTACACCCGTCCTTTGGTCAGCGAACGGATATCTCGCCTACACCATAAGTGACGCAGGTTGGCAAAAGTAGATCGAGCTTTCTATATCCGTGCTGAGATTTCGTCAGTCACCAGGCCATCAGCGCTGATGAGACTCCCAAGATAAGTGAAGCGGTCTACATGTTCGACTACTTCACTCCCTATCACTAGTTCAGGTGCCAATGCAACAGGTCAAGAGATGTTTTCCCTTATGCCTAAAATTTGTGTTTGCTAGAAATCGGCGGTTATCTGAGCACAGTTGCAACAGACGGTCGCCATTGTCTGTTCTCTGAGCCGCGACACCATAACATCCACCAAGTGTCTTTCATTTTCACCTAGTCTACCTACTTGAGCATTGAAGTCACCAGCCATCATAACTATATCAGAGTGGAGGAGGTCCGAAAGCTTTCTGTAAAACTCATCTTTAACCCCGTCTGAACTGCAGTCAGTGGGATTGTATGCAGATATGACGGAGAGGCGACGGCGAGTGTCCGGATCCTTCCGAGTCCTTACTGTCCGGTTTATTCGGACGGCGCACAAGCGACTATCTACAGGGACCCAGTCAAGGAGAGATTGTTCTGCCCTACGAATCAATGCTATACCTACACCAGCGAGACCCCTGGAAGCAGCATCCGGTCTACCGGATACTCGAAGAGAAAATTGAGCTGCTTCTTTGTTTTGACAAGGTGAAATCAGATTAACAAATTTACTAAGATCCTGTATGCGCGTTTCCGAGACTCAGCATACATCGATTGAGTGAGATTCTAATGACCTAACTAAGGAAGCCTGTTGCCCTATTTGACACAATGTCCGTACAATAATTGCTCCAACATGTAGTCTAGAACGGGGTTTCAGGAGACCAGAAATGACGTTTCGTGAACTCGCATCGTTTGCATTAGCTGTGCAGTGTGATAAAGGAATGTGAGAAGACTTAGTCGAGGAGATAAGAGAAGTATTAGGAGGTGTAGGAAGGATTTGATTTTGACCAATTCGGTCTCGTGTGCTGCTACGGGTATGAGGGCAGTTATCAACTCCTGGCTGCACACACCGTGGAAGGTTGTTTCTTGAGGAACCTGAAAAGGAAGGTAGATTAGTGTTGGTCTTAACGACCAGGGTGCGTGACCGCAGAGCCCAAAGGACAACTGCTTGAGGCCGATCATGCACGGCCTTTCTATGAAAGGTTTTTTGAGTGTTAGCTCCGCTCTTGAAAGCCCTTAGTGGGCAACATTACCGACGGAGACGGAAATCCGTGAGGTAGGGTGAGGTGTGACATTATTAGGGTCGACCCTTTCTAACCCTTCCTTCCTTGTGAGAAGGAAGCATCGCTGCAGGTGCTGGTTGTCTGATGGAAACACCTTACTGATGTTCCACCCCTCTGCAGTCAGCAGTACGACTTTGCCCTCCGACCTTGAGTAGCAGCTTTTAGCCTCATCGTTCTCCAATCGACCTGCCTGGCATGGTAGAACCTTCAGGAACGTAAGTTCCAGCCAATATAGCTCGGTTGTGTCATCACGATATGAAAGCCCGACCACCACGTCAAGGTAGCAGCTTCGGTCGGGAGTCGTTTAGATACAACGCAAAACGTAGTACGCACGTACTTGAGACCGATTTCCTACACAACATTAGCACACAAAGATAGATTCGTCAATTCAAATCCATTAGTGGTAGAGGTTGGAGCAGCATTAGCGGTAATGGAAAAGATTAGGGTTCGAAGAAATTGTTCAAGTACAATTCAGTGACATAAATATAAAAAGAGAAGGACAGAGGTGATGGGGAATTCAGAAAACTACAACTTAATAGAAGACAAACTATGGATGCATCTGTGCCATTCCAAACGACTTTGAGCCATGTCATCCAAGGTGTTTTACCATTGGTTACGATTGTGTCGCAGACCCCAACCACGTATTCTACACCTACGAACATGGCTCAGTCAAGTAGTCAACAACTCCATGGATTTGTGCCATGTTTTGGTCCGGCCATGTTTAGCTGTCTTCCAACCTACTCCTACACCACAAAACATAGCTCGTCGATGCAGTCGGTGGTTAGGCATATGTAACACACCTCCTAACCACCTCAACTGATGGAGTTTCAATACTTCATCTATTGATTCGCCATCCCTACCTAGTACCCGTTTCCTAACGACAGCATTGCTTACTCGGTTGTCCCACGGTATACGAGTAATGCTTTGAAGACATCCATAATCAAATACTAATAACCTACCAATGTCTTCTACTCTCACTGGTCGTGTTTCGCATCCGTATAGTAGAACAAAGCGGACCGCTGCGCAGTAGACTCGTCCTTTGGTTAGCAGACGGATATCTCGCCTACGCCATAAGTGACGCAAGTTGGCAAAAGCCAGTCGGGCCCTCTGTATCCCTGCTGAGATCTCATCACTCACCACGCCATCAGCACTGATGAGACTCTCGAGATAAGTGAGGCGGTTAACATGCTCAACTACTTCATTACCTATCACTAGTTTGAGTGCCGATGCAACCCAGTCTTGAGGCAAAATTTTGCATTTCGAGGGGGAAAACCGCATCCCGAACATGCTGCATTGTTGCTTAGGGTAGTCAGAAGACTGAATTTAGTTAGCGTCTTCACTAAACAGAACCATATCATCGGCATATTCTAAGTCAACAAGTAAATCTCCTGATAAAATATTAACTCTTGAAATGTCACACGATGAGTGTGTCGCCCTTAAGCGTATGTCCGTGAGAGTTATATAAGGATAGAGAAAGTGGACAACCTTGACGAACACCACTAGAGATAATCATACGACGGTAGTTCGCCATAGGCTGTGACTCGACCAGTGATTTTCGAGTATAGAGCCTGTACAATGTCATGTACTTCTCTTGTAAACCTTACAATGACAGACTACCGTAGAACCTCGCGATTAATAGTCGAACACCGCCTTAAGGTCCAGGAATACAACTATTATGGAACGTCAAAATGTGTCTGGTTCCCAGGTTCTATAGAGCCACCTCCAGGTCTGAAACCAGTCAGGTTTGCTCGAGCCCACTCTTTACGATCTCTAGATAGGCGTCAAAGTATTATTGAAGCTAATATTTTAAACACCATATTAGTTACACTGACTCTTACGTGATTGTCACAATAGGACTTCTGTCCATTCTTGTAGACTGGGACAATCAGCGATCGAGACCAATCAGATGAGACTACGTCCAGTTCTCGGATTCTGGCTAATATCTTAGTCAAACTAACTGCTTATACTGGACCACCATCTTTAAGAACCTCAGGGGTCAATCTACCAGGGCCCTTTGCTCTCCCTCGCTTCAGATTTCTTACACCCTTTTCAACCTCATTAAGAGTCGCAGGACTTAGATCAGTATGCCATTCAAGTTGACTGGAGATCGTGGGTAACCGAAGTGTGGCTGAAGGCCAGTTGAAATGATTCCTGAAGTTTTCTACTCACCTATCCGATCTCCTGGATTGAGAATAAATAGTAGCCCCATCCTTTTCCGAAATAGTTTCACTAACAGTTGGATTCCTAATACCGGTTTCCTTGATAAGCCCGAATGATTGTCTGCCGTTACCTATCATCGCTGACTTTTCCATCACTCTTGCTTTCGCTACCCACTACTGTTGGCGCCATTGCGCAGGCTTTTTGTCAACCTAAGCCGGATCCGCTACTCGTCACGTTCACAGTCAGACGGGATGAGTTTCCGAGCATTTATCAATAGATGCTAGTGACGTCCACTGCTTCCCCTAACCTTACGGCTTACCTTACTGGTAGATATCACTGTTCTTTCCAAAACTTTATGGATGATATTTCAAGCTGCCTGCGGGTGGGCATTACATACATGGCTACCTACCTCATCTGAGTTGCAATCAGTGGGAGCGTAGGCAGATACGACGAAGAGGCAATGGCGTCCCTGCCTAACCGAGTCGTTACTCTCCCGTTTAGTCGGGTGGCGCATAAGCAACTTTTTACTACGATCCAATCCTGCTTTTAGTCATACCGTTTCCCAATAGACCTGTCTGGCACGGTAGGATCTAAAGGAACACATGTTTCAGCCGATATAGTTCGGTTGGGTCATCACGATAGGCAAACCCGACCACTACGTCAACGTGGCAGCTACAGTCGGGGCTTATGTATCATAGTAAGTATAAACAGAAAATAGCAACTTACAATGGCATCATTCCTATACTAGGATCACTTGAATGATTTACGAATGTGGTTGTGCGAATTTCAGTTATAACTGTGCGAACCTAAATACTATTAAAAAATAAACCAAAGCATTTCTTTGTTTCAGTGTCCAAACTGTGAAAAAAACTTTATTCAGACGGCAACAAGTGACTGGAGAAAGAGACCCAAGTGCTTGTTCTGTGACCTCGATTCAAAAGCAGACAACTAGGAGATATCCGACCGACCACGACGATTTATTTACGCAGTGATAAGTTAAAGACAAAATCACGAAAACGTGTCAAGTGTATTTTATATTTGTTTTTTCAAACAATCAAAAATTTATGTACAAAAAACTTCGAGCCCAACTTCAGTAGAAACATTCACAAAGCACGGATAGGGCCTCCGATATGTACTTTTATTCAAGAGAAAAGTGGAACACTAGTTATAAGTTCCAAAAACCACTTAGACTAGATGAATATTTATGTCCAGTACACTTACAAGTGACTGAACTAGTTTAGAGGCACCAGACCGAGCTAAATGTACTTTAGTTCTGAACGGTAGAAAATCATGCTACTGACGAGTGAAATAAATGCTGCATGGTTTGTGCATCAGTATTAAACCAAAAAAAATTTAAATACATTAAATTAGTCACATTCTGAAAGAAACAAGTAGAACAGGTCAGTTTATCTCATAGAAAGGCACCATAAATAAAGATTTGTCAACGGGATTACACGTATCACCACGGCTCGGGCATTGAAGTTAGCTTACTTAGCTCCTGATCGGAACACGGGGGGAAGAAATGACGCTTGTAACCAATCATATCGACCCAGGGTAGTATATGTAAATACTGATCATCTAGGATGATTGAGTGTAAATTAGTAGGAGAGATACAAGCATATTCAATCCCTGTATCTACTGTACACTTTTCAGGAGAGTTGTACTCTGAAACTTTCGTAGAATCTTTATCACAGACAGTCATGTAACTGCGGTCAAGGCTATACCAGTCAATGTCTTCCGGCAAAGATGGCAATTCAGGCCAATCATTCATAAAGTTAGTCACGGGAGGGAGAACCACTTTGCGTTTATGATGGCCTTTTAGTTGGTTGGAATGTATTCTGGAAGAGCCTTCGGAAATTTCAGCTTCGTCTTTATGATGTTTATGTTTCTTCTTCTTCTTTTTAACTTTCTGAGCATTTGACATAGTGTCATTTTCGACATCGAATAATAATCGATCGGATATAATTTCGTTATTACAGCGTGAGGGACTTTGATTATTAATCGATGAAATGTTTACAGAAGGTATAACACTTTGAACAGAATCTGAAATTAAGTTGTGATTCTTTTCGTACACAGCTGGATTTTCTCTACACTTCAAGTATACTTCAGACTTTAAGTCTAAAATTGTGTTACACTTGGGAGGATGCGAGGTTTCATTGGTACCGGCAGAGATGCTGCGCGAACTTGAATGAGAGCCAGAGTTTGTACGACCTAGGCGTGTTTTTGTGGGTTGCATCAAAGAACATACTCCAGGAGGGTCGACTTCTTTGCTGATTCTGTTCGTAAGAATGCGATCAGCAGTTACGGAATCGATACAATCTCCTGCAACTTGGACTAGTTCCGCAGTTGATTTGACTTTTGACAAACGCGTGGAATTCGTTACTCGGGGCTTCGACGAAGGAGATTGAGATGTTGGAATACTTGTTTGGGATACTGAAGTATCTAGATTTTCACTAAACTTAGTATCCTGAGGTTGTGGTTCTATACATTTACTACCATTCATAAGGTTACTCGGATTATTGACCTGAACAACCACTGGTGTACTTGTGTTAGGGGACGTTGGGTCTGTGAACTTCAGACGTTTAGAAACATTAGAAACATAGTTTTCACTTTGCTCTATTTGACACACAGAGAGTTTCGATGCACTCTCTTTGAGTTTGTCTGGAGAAGGATTCGGACAATGCCGTTTTGTGAGATTTACAGAGCTTTTCATCTGAGAAGGGCATATTGCATTTACAGAATCTGTTGTTTGTTTGGGTCTATCACGAACACGTATTTTAGTCGGTGTACCATTGGATCTAGGTGACTTGGATATATTTTTGTCCGACGTTTTCAGAGGAATAACATATTGATGTGAATACTCAGAGGAAAGTAACTTCTGCCATGCCTTGATAATGAGCCTAATGCGTTTTTGGAGAGGTGGGTCAACCTTGTGACGGATGGTTTGTAACAACTGACCGATCCTAGTATCTTGCAATTGAATCATAGTCATCGGGAAGTTTTCCAGATGGCCGACGACGTCACATATTGCATTCAAATCAGTTACCTACAAAGCAGAGCGAAAAAGTTTTTATATGTAGGAAAGAGCTTTGTTAAAATAAAATATTAACAAGTTATTTTATTTAAATAAGCACTTAAGTTGCGAGCAATGTAGAACCTGGAATATACGTGCATCAGTACAAGTTGCAAAATCAGAACACAGTGAGATTGAATTATTATAGTAGAAGTATAAGCTGCAGAAAAGAGTACACATGGAGAAAATGGTTTGATGAGAAAGATCGTATCTTCGGAATAAAAATTGTCAAATAGTTTGAAACCTAGAATCAAGCGACTGCATACTCAATTAATTTCTGGTTATGTAGCAAGTGAAGTTGGAGACGCCAAGTTATAGGTTAATCTGGTGCTAAAGCATGATTAATATGTACAGAAAGTTCACAAAGGACAACTGGAAAAAACTGATCCGAAAAAAATAGGTTGGTGGTACGAATATGTACAGGACCTTTTTTATTTTAGAGTACCTCCATGGAGCCTAGGAAACTTAAACTAAATGATTAGAAAAATGAACTGGGTTACGGAAACTTATCTGGACAACAGTGGCGGCAAATTTAACATAGAAAAAGTTGCGCAACGATCACAAGTAACGGTAAGCAAAAAAAGTAGCAATATATAAAACCAAGCATCCATTTTGATACATCGAAGAAGCAGGTTTTAGCAAGACTATTTGTAAAACGAAAGAAAATGTGATCCCTGGGATAAAAAAATGATAAGTACAATAATTTAAGAAACAGTTCAAACGGATCGCCGGGAACCTACTATTTTCAAACTACACTGGGGAAATTCGAGGAAGGTTTCTCATCTCTTGGAGACTGATGGAGACCAGCAGGACATGACAGTTTGGTTGATAGTCTTCAAGGACAATGGTTTAAGCAGTTAGCTTGGTAGATACTATTTAGAAATCCTCTAATGATAACAGAAGAATACCTTTAGGTAATGTAACGGCACAAGCCACACAATACTGAAGATCAAATGGATTCCAAGGCTAAATACAACGTCCGGACAAACCAATCTGATAATTTGTTGAGGGGAGGGTAGTTGAAGTTCGTTCATCCTGACGTCTGCTTAAACACCAGTGGTTTAGTAGTTGATCTACATACTCAAAAATCTGTAGTGGTTTGTGCTAACCTGGGTCATTTAGCACAGCGCCAACATTCGCCGGGTAAGTTAATGTCAGATTTACAATCATTTGGTACAAACAGTCAAGTTATATATCTAATGGAGTCTAACGACCGGCGTTTGATCATTATTAACCTTAGGGAAATCGGCATCTGGTGGTAACACTGGGGTCTGGCAGCTAATGCTTAGCAATATTAGGCTTTATAAACCAATAGGCATTATTTTTCGATGTCGAAAACAAATGAGCTAAAAGATGTTTAGATTCCCATAGAGTGAATGGAAAATGTCTTGAGTGAAGCTTATTTACTATGTAACGACTACCGCAGCTTAATATAAAGTTATGATTAGTTCACAATTAAATCTCCCAACATTAGCGTCTGCAAAGAAATAAAATTGAAATGGAAGACATTCTAGAACCGGATAAACATTGACTAAACGATAAATTAGATTAAACACTATGGAAGATGTAAGCACATTTTGGAACGCTATTTAATGACCGACAGTTCCCGAAACAGCAAAAGTATTCGATCGAAACTCTTCGGAGATAATATAATAGTTTCAGTTCGTTCTCAACGATGCTTCCACAACGCATTTACGGAAGCGAATGTAATTTAATTAATAATACAAGATGTAATAGATGTGGACTTAAATCTTCATGGAAGTAGAGAGTCAGACATGGACTAATTTCTATTCCTACTTAATAAACCATGCATTATAATCAATGAATCTTTTCGAAACGCCGGAACTTTTAGTTATAACATCCACAACTCCATCGGTGATACCATCCCTTCTAAATCACATTGTCATACGAATTAATTTACAAATACGTTTTAGAGACACAGTAACAATTTACCAGAAAACGTCACTGAAATAAAATCGCTTACATTCTTTATTTACAGCATCATTCAGAAAATTAGCAACGACAAACGTACGTGCATCAGTCCGAGTTCATACACAACATTAGCACACAAAGATAGATTCGTCAATTCAAATCCATTGGTGGTAGAGGTTGGTGCAGCATTAGCGGTAATGGAAAAGATTAGGGTTCGAAGAAATTGTTCAAGTATAATTCAGTGACATAAATATAAAAAGAGAAGGACAGAGGTGATGGGGAATTCAGAAAATTACAACTTAATAGAAGACAAACTATGGACGCATCTGTGCCATTCCAAACGACTTTGAGCCATGTCACTCAAAACGAAAGAACAAATCGGTATTACCTCAAAACATGCTACACAGCTTAACAGTGTAAAAATAGACAATCATGGATTAAAGTAAAATTATATTTACGTCAAATAATTTGTTGCAGTATCATATCAAGTGGGATGGATTTTAAAGCGTGTTCGTTTGATTATGAAACTTTAAAACTCAAGGTAAAAGTAAACTTTTCGCTATTTGATTTAGTTCTTCCTACTAAATGGAGGTCCAGTTACTGATCATTCAATCAGCAGGGATGGTAATGTTTTGGTATGTGTTACTGATATTGGCTGTCAAATGAATTTATGGGATCTACGGTGTCAAAAGAAAGTATTTTCAATTCCAGGTTAAATCATTTACATCTGATAAGATTAGTTTGGTTTTAAGATATTCATCGGAAAACACCGACATGTTGTCTCTTTACTCCGAATGGAAATTGTGTAATTACAACATCAACAGATGGATCTGCAAAATGTACAGATTTGCGATCCCACAGGACTTTACTTACCTTGAGGTTTGATATGAGGAACTTACAAAATTAACTACTTTTAGGGATCATAAGAATGCTGTGTCATGTGCAGCCATTGCTAGAGATGGGAAGTTGCTTGCAACAACATCATGGGATAAAACAGTTCACTTGTATGACATTGAGACTGGAAACTACCGGACAGATGGACCACAGATTTTGGCTGATGGTCATACTGGTTCGATAAGTAGCTGTGACATTGACGACAATGGTGAGGACCGAGTTGCACTCCTAATGTTACTAGGGGTCTACCTGGTGACTGGAGGTCACGACAAGTGTGTTATATTATGGGATACTGAGAAAAGAGAAGCCAAATTGTGTCTCAAGGTATCACCAAGTACTATGTAAAGAGAACTCCAAACAGAGACATACAGATTGGATCAATGATGTACATGTGACAAAAGATGGGAAATGGATTCTAACAGCATCAAAAGTAGGTCATATTATCAGTGCCAACTTTTTAGGATAGATCGATAAGGTCATGGAATATGGAAGTAATTGAAAGTTTGCCGTTCACTTACCTGCCTGGCAATGAGCAAAATATTCTTATTTTAAAGGTAAGTTTAGTAAGAATATAACTGCAATGAAGGTTTATGAGTTTTATTAAGTGGCTTATATTTAAGAGAAATGAGACTGAGATACATTTTTATCACAGGATCAGTCAGCAAACATAAGTCCTAATTACGATGACGCATTTATTATGTACATGCTACATCAGTTCACTCTCGTAAAGCAGTTCAATTTATACTTACGAACAAATGGGTCACGGTTACGAAGTGATTGACTGACTGAACAGAAAAAGTGAATATATACATTTTTAAAAGTCGAAGAACGAAATTTACATTAAAAGAATGTGAAGACTGATAAAAATTCATCGTAGGCATCAAAAATAATCGCACTTATAAAGACGTTAGCAAGTTAGCTCAGGATTATAAGTTCATTTGGATTTAAAACTGACATTCGAACCACTGAGAAGGTGTAGACAGATTCCGACAGTATACCCTAATTGCACTTGTTCGGTCGTCTTAGTTTATCCTGGCTTATTCGAAGGGTAGTTTTCAGAAAAAAAAGGCCAGGATGTAAATACTATGAGACCTAGGTAAGTTCACCAGTATGAAATCATCACAGTGTCAGTGAAATAGGCAGTCTGTGGGAGTTTTGTTTTTAGAAAACCATTTTAACTGAATGAGTAACAACATTGTCTATCTAACCCAATCTGATCGCCGAACTTACAATACCAAATTTTCGGGAAAGGTCGAAATACAGGGTGAAAATGTCAAGATTTCAAGTTGTAGTATTACCCGTTGCTCAAACGAAATCTCTCAGTCTCTAATGAACGTAATAATGATCAACTACTATTTAGTATTGGCTTCTAAGTTTAAAAAATGGTATCACTACTGGAATGAACATCCTGAGTTCTCTAGAAACGTCAACTTTCAGAGAAATTTAACACGATAACATCTCAGAAACAGACTGCAACCAGAAGTTTAAGTTTTGCCAACTGTTAGGTTTTTGCATACACGAACAGGAATTTAGCGATGGGTTAAACGAACAGATCACTGGTTGGTGCAGTTCACTACCAAAACCTTCTGATATATAGACTACTTCATATACAATTCCAACACAAAATAAACACTAAGTGAAGTGAGGTTTACGAAAATTAACCAAATGTTTGGCATACGTACAGTTTCGATAAATTTATAATCTAGTCAAGTTTCAATGACAAATTTACTTGCATATCTAGGAATTAAAGCACGTGGAACTAACTGAAAGGTATTGGCAATCGCCTGAAAATCGAAAAAGGTAATTTTATGCACCACGAAAAATCAACAAATAAATGGTGAGAAAGTGAAGAAATATTACGCGAACCAATAAAGACAAACTACAGTAAAGTCGTTTAGATAGTTAGTTGGTTAGTTGCAACGAAGAACTTCGTACGTGTGTACATAAGTTCATGTTGCCATACCAAATGAGCACAGAAACGCAAATGTCAAATCAAATACCATAGTGATAAAGATAGTAGAGGTATTAATGGTAATGAAGAAGACTAGGGTTCGAAGATATTATTCAAGAAGTATAATTCAGTGAGATAAGGTTAGAAAGACAAAGGCGGAGGAGCTGACGAATCCAGAAGATTAGGATTTGAGAGA